GGAGGAGCTGGTGAAATCAAGAGATTGACGAATGAAATAAACAATCAACCTGGAAGTTTCTTAATTGAGACCAAAAAGGGCAAACAAGGAACAAAAACGGTAACAACGGAGAGTTGGGATTACTACGAGAAATTCATCCAACTACTCAAAGACAAAAAGCATCACTTCCACACATACTCCAGCCAAGAACCACTGAAGAAGTACGTACTCTATGGACTCCCAGATATGGAAATCAGTGAGTTGGAGAAGGAACTTCAAACCGTAAAAATCACACCAGTAAAAATTGTCAAAATGACAATGAAACACAAAAGACACGAACAAGACGACGACCAGAACTACCTCGTGTACTTCAAAAAAGATGTAGAACAAGGTGGAAATTTCCTGGAATTCCTCAGAAAAATCAAAATTGTCAGCAGTTTCAAAATTAAATGGGCTGACTACAAAAATAGACAAGCTGGACCATCTCAATGTTCGAAATGTCTGCAGTTTGGTCATGGACAAAACGGTTGTAACAAACCGTCTGTTTGCTTCAGATGCTCTGAGCAACATGACTCGAAAACGTGCCAGTACATATCGAAAGAGACCAACAAGGTTCCACTCGGAAAACTCAAATGTTTCTTCTGCGGTGAAAAACATACAGCAATTTTCACAGGTTGTAAAACCAGACAAGAAATAATCGAAAAATGGAAATCAAAATCACAGAATGGAAACAACCAAAATCAAAACAAAACAGCAGGCCATTATTCATATGGACAACGGAGAAACAATCCTCCAACACCGCATCGTCCTGAGAGATCAACCAGAAACGTCCAACATGCACCAAAACCTCAATGGAGAAAGGAGTATATGGAACCATCAACATCTGGTACACAAAAGCCTGTTCATCAAAAACAAGTTCCAGTCAACCACAAACCAAGGAACACAAATCCTCCTCCAAATCACAAACCCTCAAATCAGGGAAATAAAAATAACTTGAACAACCAACAAAACAATAAAGAAAGAGGAAAACATTGGAAAAAGAATCAAAGAAAAAAGCAAAACGAGCGCATTAATAACAATCAACATCAAAAACCAAAGCAAGATGTTGAGCTTATGGACTCAGAAGACATCAGTGCAACAAGTCAGACCTCGAATGAAGTCTTCCCAGAACCTTCATTCAGTGTTGAGGTAGTGAATCGAAACATAACAACTAATCAACAAGCTCAAAGCACCAGCACAAGAGATAAAAACATCTCAGAAATAGAGGAATCAAAGTGCAAGTACCTTATCAGCGAGCTTCTCAAATTAATCGCCAAAAATCCAGAGTTCATCGACGAAATACTCCAAGCAATCGGCTCAAGTGCCAAAAACACCGCATACAATAATGGATTGTAGACAACAAAGTATCAACGTCCTCTACTGGAATGCTAACGGCCTCACTGACAAAATGTTAGCATTTCTCGACTACCTAAGCAAGCAAAACGTCGATGTTGCTTGCATCTCAGAAACATTCCTAAAACCAAACTCAAAAATTGACTCGCATCCAGACTACGTAATTCATCGATTGGATCGCGTGGATAGACCAAAGGGTGGTGTTGCAATCATCGTCAAAAGAAATCTAAAACATCAGCTTCAACCAAGCTACAACACAAAACTAATGGAATGCATTGGAATCAAAGTCTTCATCAATGACACGGATAGTTGTCACATCCTCTCAGTCTATCTCCCAGGAGGAAGCAAAGGAGGGGAAATAGATCTACACCTGAGAGATGACATCAACAAAATAACAAATCTGAGAGGAAATTACTACATCTGTGGAGACTTCAATGCAAAACATCGAGAATGGAACTGCAACGTTGCAAATAAATCAGGAAATATTCTTCAGGAAATGTCAGGAGAGTTCATGATCTACTTTCCTGACTCGCCAACGTACTACCCAGAAGATCGAAACAAATCAGTGTCAACAATTGACCTGATGCTCTCGAATTCCAACCTCGAAACAACAGAACTTCAATGCACAGAGGCAATGAGTGATCACTGCGCTGTGTATTTCCAAATCAAAACATCAAAAATCGACAGAACTGAAAATACAGTCTACAGATATGACTACAAAAACGCAAACTGGAAAAAGTTCAAAGCACAAATTTCACACCGCATTGAAGACAACATTGGAGAAAATTCTTGCAATACAACAGATGAGATCGAGAATCACATTAAGATTCTCTCTGAACTCATCATGGAAGCGAGGAACTCAAGTGTAAAAATGAAAAAGATCAAGTTCGAATCAACTAAACTCACACCGGAGATTAAAGATCTAATCAACACAAAAAGGAGTCTTCGTCGAAGATGGCAGAGAAGCAGAGATAATCAACTTAAATCTGAATTGAATTATCTGCAGAGAGTCATCAATGAGAAAATTAAAGAACTCAAAAACAAAAACTGGAATAAGCGTCTCTCAGAGATTCAACCGTCAAACCAAACAGTTTGGAGAATAGCAAAATTTTGCAAAAAAGGTTCAAAAACAATGCCTCCATTGACAAATCTGGGTAAAACGTTCATCACCAACAAAGAAAAAGCCAGCGCACTCAGCGAGTATTTTCGTGAAGTGCACGAAAATCCTCTGGAACAAAACGATCCACAACATACACAGGAAGTAAACAACACAGTCAAAGAAGCATTGGAACAAGACAATGATGAGAATCCAGAACTAACAGATGTAAACGAAATCGTGAGCATCATAAGAAATCTGAAAAATCCAAAAGCTCCGGGACTAGATGAAGTCAACAACATACTCATCAAAAATCTTCCTGAAAAAGGTTTCGAATACTTGAAATTCATCATCAATTCGTGTCTGAAACTCAACCACTTCCCCAAAGTTTGGAAACATGCAAAAGTGATTCCTATTCCAAAACCTGGAAAACCAGCAAATGAGCTAAGCAGCTACAGGCCAATAAGTCTACTCAGCTCAATAAGCAAAATACTGGAGAGAGTATTACTGAATAGAATCAACGATCATCTTGAGGATAACAACATCATCCCAAACCAGCAGTGCGGCTTCCGGACTGGAAGATCAACATCTCACCAGCTCATCAAAGTGATCAAATCAGCAAAAGAAAACTTAAACAACAAAAAGTCAACAGGCATGATCTTCCTGGATGTAGAAAAAGCATTTGACAGAGTCTGGCATAACGGACTCTTGTACAAAATGCTCAAACTGAGATTTCCACTGCCACTTATAAAAACTGTAAGATCTTTCCTCAGTGAAAGATCTTTCGCAGTTTTTATTAAAGGTCAGTTCTCAGAAATCAAGGTAATCAAATTCGGAGTGCCACAAGGAGCAGTGCTTTCACCAACTCTCTACAACATCTTCACGTATGATGTTGTAAGAGAGACAACCAACAACATCGGTCTTTTCGCAGATGATACAGCACTGTATCATTCTGCAGAGAACTCGGCCGATATTGTGACACATCTACAGCACACGGGAAGAAAAGTTCAACAATACATGAACAAATGGAAGATCAACCTCAACAAACAGAAGACTCAAGCCTTATTCATCACAAACAGGCACTCCAGGCAACTACCAGGAAATAACATCAAATTTCTCAACGAAAACATCAAATGGGAAACAGAAGCTAAATATCTGGGAATGGTGATCGACAAGAGAGTGACATTAAAGCCGCATGTGGAGTATGTGACCAATAGGGCTCACACCGCATTAAGACAGCTTTATCCGCTCATCAGCAGGAACTCACAACTCGACGTACGAAACAAACTTCTCATCTACAAGCTAGCCATCAGACCAATATTCACATATGGTTGTCCAGCGTTGGGAAGCATGGCAAAAACCCATCTTCAAAAACTTCAAGTACTGCAAAACAAATTCTTGAGAATTGTTCTCAATAAAACAAGATATGAAAGGATCACCGATCTTCATACAGAAGCGAAAATACCGTCCATCGAAGACTACGTCGGAAAGTTGCAAGCGAACTTCAACAGTCGTCTTGCATCTCAAAACACCGAATAAATCAAATGAAATACAAAAGAAAGTAAAATCCGTAAATGAAATCAAAATTAAGAGACAAAAGGCAAATTGAATGCCTGAAACCTTAAAACAAAAAGCAACAAAATGTAAAAAAAAAAAAAAAAAAAAAAAAAAAAAAAAAAATTGCCATTATAATATTTGTTGTTGTGATATCATTGCAGCATAGATGTTAAAAACAAATTTCACACATGAGGCCATTTCTTTTTTGTATCCCTTTGTGTGTGCTTCAATCTCTTAATGCTTGAGCAAAGAGGAAGCAAAGTGATTTTTGAATGTTATAAAAACTTTTTAGTCATTTTTGGCCTTGTTGGATATTAGAAAATGGCTGTATAATGATGACACAAAGAGTAGAAAAAAAAACTTCACATACTTATGATGATAAAAAAAGGAATTGAAAGTAGAATAAAAGAGATATCATAATAATACAGGCTTATAACATCCATACTCGACAGAAATGAAGAAGAGAATAATAGAGATGAAAAAGAGTAAGTGAGTGAGATAGACACAGTAGAAAAAAAAGAATCTGAAGAGCTCTCATCTCGACTTCTTCATATATGAGAAAAGCTTAAATGGAAAGTTTCAATCCAGAGATGAATTTCAAAAATAATTTCATTCATAGCCTTATTGTTGAAATGCGTCACTGGCTGTAAACTACACATCATAACAGAGCAAGACAATGGAACGAGAAAGAGAGATATGCTTTTTATAGCTTTTCAGGCTACCACTGCTGTTACAACTTGTACTGATGCTGCTTATTCTATATTTATTCCATATATAAATATATCTACAGAATTAACACAGCACAGCACAGTGAGAGAGAGAGATTGTATATAAAATATGGGTTGGGATTTTTCCAACCCACAACCAGCCAGAATAACAGGCAGCAGATTTGAGTACATACAGTACAGAACTATGGCATGAGAGCATAAAAAAAAATTGAGAGCGAAAAAGAGAATATAAAAATCGATATACTCACTTTGAATGGCTTGTCAGGATACCAGTGCCCTTGAAATTTGTGCTTTAATGCTTTCTCTAACTCCTCGCCAAAGATGTTGACCCGACGACGTGGAAGCTTGTTATAAAGGTACGATATGACAAAGTTTAATGCAACTTGAATTTCAATGTGCATTTTTGCAATAATTCTTGATTCTTAATTAATTATTATTATTTTTTATTTTGGTACTGCTTGCACTGCACTTATGATTGTTTTTTATATTATTTATTGCGTCACTTCCGTTAGCAAAATTATATTCCTTAATTTATCAGTTTTTTAATTTTCTCGCTAAACTCGTGCGTGTATTATATTTAATATCAATACAATACACACATACACACACAAGTAGACACTCAGGAACACACGAGAGAATGATGAGCACACGTAAAAGCACCAATAATCTTCACTTGTTTTATTTTATATTATACTTTTTTTTATATTTGAACTTCTTGGTATCTTCTTCTCACCCTTAGAAACCACCAGCAACAATACAGGCAGTTTATAGTAGAGAGAAGTAAGGAAGGAAGGGAGAATCGAAACTTTTTTATTATTCTTTTATTGCAGTTTACTTCTTTCCCGTATGAGATTTTTCTTTAACTTATTCAATTGCGTAGGCTCTAAACTCCGGCTTTCAACTTTTCTTTCTTTGTACACAAACAATTTTTTTTCAGGACGTTGTCAATAAACTTATGTTTTCTTACTCATTCAGCGTGTTCACAGCACTTCACTTTGACTCTTTTATTTATTTTTACGTTTTGTTTTGGTTGTTGGGTTGTGTATATATAAAAATTTATTAAGCTGACTGTTTTTTTTTTTTGAAGAACTTAAGGAAAAAGTTTCAAATTTTCTCTTTACGCAAATTACACAGTGAGTTGAGTTTTTAACACACGCGGTGGGTGCTTTCTGGAATTAAAGAATAAGAAAATAAATTAGTAATGTACATAATTTATATTAATGTGTTAATTCCGCGCTTTATTTTGTGATTGCCTACGAAATATGAGAAAGTTTCACAAAAGAAATTTTTTCTTTTTCGCGAAAATTAAAAAACTTAATGAAAAATCAAAAGAAAATTTATTTATAGATTCTCAGTGTCTCAACTTATTCATCATCATCGTCTCACGAGGTTTTTCACTTGCAATTTACGTTTAGCCAAACAAAAACAGAGAAGAAGGAAAAAGAAAAATTATGAAAAAAAATATAAATTTTCACTTCTGCTTTTTCCTTCAGCCGATAATCAAAAATTGAGATGATGAAAATAAAAAAAAAATATCTTTACACATGCCACATACAATATTTTCTTCTGTTATTTACGGAATGAAAATTGAATTTTTCTTATGAATACACAAAACACAGCACTTCTTATAGAAAATATATAAAAAATTTGAAGGATGAAAAAATTTCGATATTTTTTGAAAACTGAATATTAACAAATTTCAAAGGTTGCAATGATTTATTTCAATGAAAAGTTGAATGAAAATTAGAAGCTTTCTTACACTTTACTATAAATGACACATTTCTCTCAGCCCTAAACCTAAAAAAGTTGTATTCTTGTATTTTCAACTTCTAAAATTTAATTCCTTTTCCCCTTAGCCTATTTCAATGTTGCTGCCTCAACGTACGAATAACAACTGAATTCGGTCTTTTCCACTGTGATGTGAAAAATTGTAAATTTTTTTTTCTTTGACTTCCTCACACTAGTCGAAAATTGTCTCTCTCGACTCTCCATTTTCTCTTTCTCTCAAACTGATGAATAGCAAAAAAAATTCATTGTCGGGAATTTTTTATTTTCTCTCTATGAATGCGAATGTATTTGTGGATTGTCTGAGTTTCTGTAGTCAAGTGTGGTGTGAGGTGTGAGAAAAAATGATGTGCTATGTGCTTTGATGTAATACAATGTAACAACCACCTTGTGCTTTTCTCACACACAAACACAACTGCAGACTGATTCTCTCGGAATTGAATGAAAGTCGCTCACGCTCAGACATTCGGCAGCGACAACGACAACGATTCACTCATAAAATACACATTTCACATTTTTCTCTAATATCGACGTCATCAAGTACGGTGATAGCATAACATAATATCATGTACTACGCCACTACTAACACTGTTTGGATCACATTTTCCTCCATGTACCTTTTTTCTCTCATGTATTTAAGCCCACATGACCTCATACTGCTTCTATAATTCTACTCGCATACTTGCTTGCTTGCTTCTATGCCGATAGAAGTACGAAAACCTTTTTTTATCAGCAACAGCGGAGAAAAAAAAAGAAGAAAACAAAGTTCTAATGATAACATGGAGCGAGCGTAGCAATAGCAACTGGCAGAAGCTTTATGAATGCATTTCATCATCACCATCGCAATCAACATCACACGTTTGACATTTTGTTTAAATGGTGCCTCAAGATCATGCCGACCTCGTATACTTGCATTAATATTAACCCAGATATTATCGATTTTTAGCGCAGTTTCCAAAATAATAAAAAAAAAATCACATCATGCACGTTAGTTTTCCTGCCAATTGTCTATGTTCTTGTGGTTTCAATCCCTTTTGGGAATTAAGCAACAGATCAATAACAATTTTAATTCTATTATGCAAATATTGGAGTATTTTCCTTAAGGATTAGAATTGGCAAAGACCAATTTTGAATTTTGTCAATATAATTCCGATTATGCAATAGCTGTTGACTATGTGTACGTATATTGATTCTGTAAAATTAATCTTATTGATCATTGGGCTGTAAAAGGAAGATTGTGAAATATGGTGTAATATCTTCGACGATGCCATAATCTTTTTATGCTGACACATATAGAGTTTACAGGATCTCGATTTTTTTTAAGCCTTAGAAAATGAATGTGGAGCGAAGTTCTGTTTACGATATAAGATTTGTACGTTTGAAACATTCGCACGATTTTTTTCATGCTCTCGATTTATGTTACAAAATTGATTGCGTTTTTCTGAAGCATTACTCATATTATTATGTTCATGTTGTTCAACTAGATTTGTCATAGGTACGAGAATAAGGGGTTTGGAATGGGGTTAATGGATTAAAATTTAAATTCTGTGCTATTTCAATTTGCTATGAAATCGAAAGATGATTTCACAATTTCCTCAATGTTATATCTTACTTCATCTTTAGTGAATCAATTCTTATTATAGAATGTCTAATGAGAATATCCAAAACCCCTTAAAAGTCAATTGCACTGCTGTGTTTCTATAGATATCGACTACACCCACAAGAAACAATTTCAAGAGAGTTATGCCGTGCAACAGATGTGGTTCTACTGAACATAACCCTTCATATTTAAACTTATTAGCTCATATTCACATAATAAAGTTGTTATATTGAATAAGGTTAGTTAAGCATAACTTTATTGCAGCAGTGTGTGCAAAAATAGTCTTGCATAATGAAAATTCAAAGTTGGAAGCTATAAAATGTTGGATCGATTGAATTTCAGGAATTTTTGGAATTTCTTGTAAAGCTTCTGAGTTTATATGATGCTGGATCTTTACTTTAATGTTCACATCATCACTTATTGTAGGATTAATAGGAATGTTTCACATAGCGCTAGCCTTTTCCACTCTTTATCATCATTTATGAACGACCCCTAAGCTGTTCAACATGCAAACTATGTCTACAATGGCTGTATTTGGTAATTTAGAAATATATATTAGATTCGATAAGAATTGAACTAGACCCTCATGCTGAGTATTGTCAGGCAGCACAACTAGAGCTTTTCTTTAATTGACTTCTGAGAAGATTTCTTTATGATGGCTATTTGTCATGCACATGAAGTCATATAACCTGAAGTTATATCTGAAGTTCTTCAGAACCAAAAGATTCCGTAAATTTGCTAAAATTAGTTCAATTTTCAAACTCACTTTTATTCATTTCGACAAAACACAAAATTACCTCATCCCGAACCTTCTAAAAACTTTCTACTATTTTGCTTTACACGTGCCACAAACTTCATGCCAAGAAAATTTCAGACTTTGTGGTTGCATCTGTAATGAAATTTTTTTCGCGACGTAATATTTTGTAAATTATACAATAGATTTTCGAAATATGCATGTTCAGCTGCCAAGGAAAAGTACAGATTATTTCAAAATAATCAGAGACGTCATGCTGAGGTACTTCAACAACATTCCTCCTTCCTTTAAAATTCTCATTAAAAATTCATTCCAACCTGCTGAATTTCTACTTCAAATACAATGGAACCACGTTAAATGATTCTATATCGAACATAATCAACCGGAACCTCTACAAACAGCTTAACATATTAAAAATACATACCAGTATCTCCGAAGAATTCATTCAATTTACAAAAAAATATTCATAAGACTCAATAAAAGCTGCGGAATGATAAGGAAAAGTAATGAAGAGAATTAAATAAATATTTGAGCTATTTTGTTCATTTAATTTCCTTTTCATTGATCAACGATAAAGAAAGAAGCGCTCTTTTTGTGCTGTTTGCATTATACTGAGTCTCAAAAAATTTTGTAGCTTCTTTTAAGAAAATGACTATACTGAAGTCATCATCATCGTCATCATTAGCATCACTTAAAAATTCAAATATTCTTTATGGGTTTCTTCTTAAGGATGGTTGAATTGCATATAGCAAGTGAAATGGTGTCTAAAGCGCAATTGTTGATGGTGAACCAGAACCAAACCTGAGAAGAACTATTAAGTTCATAACAAGACATACTGTTGACAATTGCCTTTGGAACAGTCAGTAAAATTTGTCATTAGTCTAGTTATTAGCTTGCACATTATATCTAGTCTTCCACTTAGAAAAACGCTCTACATTAACACAATAGTCGACTATAGATCTTCTCGACTTGTTCCTCAAACGACTGTTTATTCAGGTACATTAAAAATTGTCACAAACGAAGTTGCCATGCATATTAATTCTTTCATAAAGTTCTATATTATGTATTAAGCACTAGGGTTCACATCTAGTCAATGAATCAAAACAAAACACGTGCTTATAATATTACTGTATCTATCCATAAGTATCCCCAAAAGCAGTTCAAAATCTAAAGATTGTGTATATCCCACTTAAAGTCACCCAGACAACAGCAATATCCACAACTGTTGTATAGAAAAATCCGCTATAAATTTCTATGCTCCTTATTTTCAATATATACATCGTCGTCGTCATCATCATCATTTTCTCTTTTAAGGGAAGCATAAGTATAATAAGAATAAAAAGACATAGGCATAAGAAAATGATTTTTAAGAAGAAGACATGAGGAGGGGATGGAGAAGAAAAGTGGATGACAGTATGAGGAGTTTTGAATAGAGACAAGAAAAAAAAGGAAATTGGAACATGCATGATGTGATAACATGACAAATTTTTATCATTTACATTATATATGCGCATATAGGCAAAAAAAAAACTTCATTTACAATGCGACATCAAACATGAATTACACATGATGCCTCTTGGGATATCCATAAGATACATCATATTATCTACGTGTGCGTACGTTGATGGATATAAATATAATGTATCATAGAACAAAAATATAATGAAAAATACATAATGATGAGATGAAATTCATTGAAATATGTATTATGCTATATACTCATGCTATGCATGAGCATTCATACGTAAACATCATAATCCATTTTTTATGTGTTTATTAATAAATCAGTAGAGGACCATTTTTATATATTCACGTTGAAGCGTAAACATAACAACGAAATCTTTCACTTCCATAAATTTCGATGAGCACTTACTCATTGACTCATTTCAGCTGAGTATTGCGAGCATCAAATATGGCAAGAAAGCAAAGCCAAAAAAAAAGAAAGTGGAACGTAAAAGAGGATTATGTTCTCAATAAGGTATGAGATAAATAACACAAAAAAAATGAAAAGTATACCATAGAATGAGCAC